ATAAATAAATAAATATTTCTTTTTTTTTTTTTCTTTTTTTTTTTCTTTTTTTTTATGATGTAGATTTGGTTCTTCTTTGTAAAGTACAAGAAAATATATCTGAATCGAAGCAAGAGGCAGCAGCAGCAGCAGCAGCAGCAGCAGCATCAGGTGCAGCAGCAGGTCCTGCAGGAGCAGCAGCAGCAGCAGCAGCAGCTCGTTGTAGTTGTGGCTGTATAAGTACATATTCAATAGATCCTTTTGCTGTATCGGGCAGTCAATCTCCATCATCCCCATCATCAGCAGGTGCAGCAGCAGGTGCAGGTGCAGCAGCAGCAGCAGCAGCAGGAGGAGGAGGAGGAGGAGGAGTATTATCAACAGCAGGAGAATGGTGTTGCTGCAGTACTGCATGCGTTCCTCCTCCTCCTTCTTTTTCTTTTCCTCCCTCCTTCTCTGATGCTGCTGATGTATTAAAAGAAATTTCCCTATTAGGCACACTTTATTATCCTTGGCCTCTTATTAAAGTTGTTATTGCTGGACAAATATATGAGGTATACTAGTGGTCTAGTGGTTTAGGGTTTAGGGTTTAGGGTTTAGGGTTTAGGGTTTAGGGTTTAGGGTTTAGGGTTTAGGGTTTAGGGATGATATGGAAATGTAGTATAGGATGTAGGCTGATTAGGACAAGGGTTTAGGGTATAGGGTTTAGGGTTTACCACTTTTCCTCATTAACATCTCCTTATACAAATAACTATTCCTGTTGCTGTTGCTGCTGCTGCTCTTGCTGCTGCTGCTGCTGCTGCTGCAGCTGTTTTCAGTGTTAGGGAAGAAGCAGCAGCGGCAGCTGCGCTCCTTCGCGTGGGAAAAGGCCCGAGATTACCTCTTCTCTCTCGTGCTGTCATTCGAAGCGTAAACCCTAAACCCTAAAACCCTAAACCCTAAAACCCTATAAACCCTTAAACCCTTAAAACCCTAAACCCTCAAACCCTAAACCCTCTAGGCCTAATGACAGCTGTGTGAGTTTGTGTCCGCTTTCTTCTTACACAAACCCTACAAATTCTTAGCAAATATGCATACCTACAACAGCTAGGATTTAGGGTTTAGGGTTTAGGGTTTAGGGTTTAGGGTTTAGGGTTTGGTGTGTACGCAGGCCGCCTTTAACGCTGCAGCGTTTATGCGAAGTGGTTTTAAAACCGCCATATCGGGAGTTAGAGAAGATGTATTTTACTCTTAGGAAGGTACCCATTTCTAGGGTTTAGGGTTTAGGGTTTAGGGTTTAGGGTTTTGATTGTTTTTTTTTTCTAGTGTTTTTTTTTTATAATTTATTGTTCGTCTCTGTCGGGGTTTTCTTATTTCTCCCTATTGACAATTTCCTTTGTGCATATACCTCTTCTCCTCTATTACGAGGGTTTAGGGTTTAGGGTTTAGGGTTTAGGGTTTGTGGCTGCAGCTGCTCCTTGTACGTGATGGTTACTTTGAGGCTCCTGTTGCTGCTTTGCCTCCTCTTGATAGTTCTTTTTCTGAGCGCATATCTAAGGCAAACGCTGTAAATCCTAAACCCTAAACCCTAAACCCTAAACCCTAAACCCTTAATAAACCCTAGAAACACTAAAAACCCTAATAAAGAGTCTACTTTTCTGCAGAGAGTAGTAGCCATGTATAAAACCCCGCAAACCCTTTTAGTTGGATATATACATTTGTTCTTTATTCCTTGCATCTCTCTTGGGTATGAAAATAAGGGTTTAGGGTTTAGGGTTTAGGGTTTGTGTGCCAGGTATCGGAGATGCTGACGAATGCCTCTGCGCGTTTGTGTAGTAATCGTGGAGGGTTTTATCAATTAGAGGAGAAAAAAGAAAAAGAAGAAAAAGGGTTATGTGGTTGTGCATGCTGTGGTGACTGGTTAGCGGATTTGCTGCAGCTGCAGCAGCAGCAGCAACAGCAGCAACAGCAGCAGCAGCAGCTGCTGCAGCAAGAATCCTCCTCTACTTGTATTTTTGCTACACATTCTCTTAATGAATTCACAGATGAAGAAAAAACAGAAAAAAGCAGAAAAAGAAATTCGCAAGAAATGCATGCAGGAGAGGCACCTACTGCAGCAGCAGCAGCAGCAGCAGCAGCAGCAGCAGATTCCGCTGCTGCTGCTGGTGGTGATACTGCTGCAGCAGGAGGTGCAGCAACAAATACAGCAGCAGCAGCAGCAGATAATGATGATTCTGCTGCTGCTGCTGCTACTCGTAGAAGAAGGATCGAACATGATTCTCTTCAAGAACAAAACCCTGCTTAGGGGAACTCTTAAACCCTAAACCCTAAACCCTAAACCCTAAACCCTAAAAATCTTTGGAGTCTTGAAACTCTATATCATGGAATATATTATACTTTATGCTATACAATGCAACGTGAATTAGGGTTTAGGGTTTAGGGTTTATCCTCTTATTGGCTTATTATTGCTTCTTCCTTCTTATTTATGTTATTTATATTGTTGTATTTATAGGGTTTATAGTAAATATATTTTTGTTTCTTTTCTTCTTTTTTTTTCTTCCTTTTCTTCTTTTCTCTTCCTTTATTACATACCTAATTACTGACATAAACCCTAAACCCTAACTAAATCATAAACCCTAGCTAAGGAAAGCTACAGCAACTGCTGCAGCAGCAACAGCACAAAACACACAAACCCTAAACCCTAAACCCTAAACCCCCATCCATAGAAGAGAATTGTACCGCTCTCTTTATCAAAGGAATACAACCCCACTACGGGTATACGTACACTAGTAGTAGCAGCAGCAGCAGCTGCTGCTGCTGCTGCTGCTGCAACAGCAGCAGCAGCAAATTGCAGCGACGTAAGCTGACAGTGGTGTTGGTGTGCTGGGGTGTACATACACCTAACAACTAGACCATAAAATAACTACAAACCCTAAACCCTTCTATAAGCCACTGCCATCATAGGTAAACGAGGGTTTAGGGTTTAGGGTTTAGAGGTGTATATGAGGAGTGTTAGGCAACTAGCTAAAAAAAAAGGGTTAATTCAATGCTGCACACTGAGCTAGGGTTTGAATATATATATTAT